AAGAAAACATCTACACTGCCATGTGTGAGATGTGCTTTTGCGCAAGAGCGCACATGGTAGTGTGGACGCTCTCTTGCGCAAGAAAGCTCTGATTGCCATTTTAGCTGTAGGGCTTACTTGCGCAAGAAATCCATGCCGAGTGTCCACACTGCCATTTTGCACAAGAGCTCCTGCACAAGAGGGCTTACACCTGTTAAAAAAGAGCGTAGCTCTTGTGCAAGAAGCCCTCTCTTACCACATCGTACTGTAAATTTCCTTGCACAAGAGTGGGCGGGCAGTGTGGATGCTCTGCGGATTCTTGCACAAGAACAGCCATACTTGCGCAAGAAGCCACGAGTGTAGATATAGCCCACTAATGCACCTTGCACTGAAATCCTTGGGAGCGGCATCTGGGAAACTCAGGTAAGCTGCTGCAGCTTCAGCCCTATTGACCTCAGCACCATGGACTGTCTCAGGACCATCCACTATCTTGAGCCACATCTTCAGAAAAGGGTCAGCAGTAGGGACCTGCATCAGCATCCTTACTGCCACAAGGAACTCAAGGCAATAACCCAGGAACTCTTTTCTCTCTCCTTTGGCATGTGCCAGGCTCCCTTACACAACTGTGCTTGACTGTGAGCATGGTCAGGGTGAGCCCCCTGCCTCAAGCATATTTGGAACAATAGCATGGTTCTTTCCTTTCCCACCAGGGGGGGTAATAGCTTTACCCTGCCCCCAACCTCAAAACTTAACGGTATTTGAAGCAAAATGGCCCAAAAGATCACATCCCTGAAATGCAAATGAGACCCAGCCCATTCCATCCCTTCCCCGTGTTCACCAAGAGATGTCAGCAGAGAGCTCCCTCCTCTCTGCAGCCCGTCCCTCTGGGCTGCTCTTCCTCCAAGTCACGCTGAAAATGTACAGTGAATTGACAGAAGAGGGGTTTTTGCAGTATAAGTATTCCCCCTTCTCGTGCAAAAATGTGCGTGTGGACGGGGAACGGGAGGGGGGCGGTTTGCGCAAAAAGAGGCAATCGAAAAAAGCACAGGTGTCCTGGTGGCCATTCTGTAAACAGCAATCAGAATGTCCTTTCGAGAGAGCGCCCATGCAGTCTGGACGCTCTCTTGCGCAAAAGCGCATCGCTTTTCCAGTGCGCTTTTTCAGCGTGGACGTATTCTTGTGCAAGACGTTTTTGCAGAAGATTTCTTTTGCCAAAAAGCTTCTTGCGCAAGAATCCTGCAGTGTAGAGGTAGCCCCAGACACACACATACGCACACAGAGACACACACGCTCACCTCCTCGCCCACGGACTGGATATGTGTTCTTTCGCTGTTGCTCCTAGCTGGCAAACGTTGTGTGTGATGTCGGACAGTGAGGGAATGGACTGCTTCGTGTATTTGCAAGTTATTTGCTGATAGCCAGAAATGTCATCATGGAGGACACCAGGGAGCAACCAGGGGCCTGGCTGCTGGCTACAGAGGAGCGTGCAGACTTGTTTAGGAGCCAGGGTTGCGAATGGCACAGATATAATAATAGTGGCTGTCAGAAAAACAGAGACCTCAATTCACGCTCTGTGACTCAGGTCAGTGCCCTCCTCTAGGCCCAGTGCTTAGGGGAGACTTTCACTCGTGGCGCGTGAGATGCCGGTGGGCAAATGCGCCCTGCCTCAAGTGACCTGATCCAAGTGCATGTGGGTGGGGAGTGTGTGTGTGTAACAGGGTCAGCCACCTCCCACTGCGGCACCCCTCGGTGTGCCCTCTTCCGGTCCAGCTTCAGAATGCTTCATAGCCATTCTCCTAACTCACCCCCTCACCCTGTGTTCCTGCGTGGGGCTGGTTTAACAGCTCCAAACAATCCTCCAGGCCCCCGACGATCGTCCCCCTCCGCACCCCAAAATGGCTCGCTCCTCTCTGCCGTCGTCGCTCGCACACGCAGCTCTGAACCCACCTGGTCTTCCCAAAGTCACCACCCCCAGCCCTTCCCCACTGGCGCTCGGGCTCTGGCTGCCAGGCCCACGCCCTTCGCCCATCAGAGAGTCTCTGCAGCCTCCTCCTCCCGACCTGTCCTCTATCAGGCCCCGGGGAGGCTGTGAACGAGATTCAGGTGGACTGGAGCGATCCATCCTGCAACGGGGGGGGGGGGTCCGCATCCCCCCCACTTATGCCCAGCAATTCATTGCCCCCCCCCGTGCCAGCATCAGTTCTGCCTGACAGCTGTTCTGCTCCTCGTCTCATCTCTGCTCTGGTGTGGATCCTTCACCCCCTTGCTGGGCCAGGGGGTGGGAATGCAGAATGGTTCTCTCCCCTTTCCCAGGCCTGAAGGGTGGAGGGAAGGAAGCTGGGCAAGACAAAGGGAAGCCACCCCCATGTTCACAGCCCTTCTCTGAGCAGCTGGGCACTTTCTCCTCCCCTCTACACTCCCCCCGCCCATGAAAATGGTGGGAGCTCCTGAAGGGCGGGGAAAGAGCGCTGCCAACTTCTGCAGCAGCTGTGATTGGCTGCTCTTCCCTGACGGATGGGCAAACCAGTGGGGAAATCTGCCAATCAGAGAGGGTTTTCCCTCTGCGGTACTAAAAACGTGCCCACTCGACGACTCAGCTGGCGGCTGGGAAATTGTATTCCCCAGCTCGATGGCCTGGCACATGGTGGGCCCTGGGATGCATGTTCCACGCCGAGTCTGGTGGTTTTCCAGGCCCCTTCCGGGTCACCAGGCTCTTCACAGACACAAACGGCAGCAATGGAGCTCCCAGGCGATTGCTTAAGGTCAGGTCTACTGACCGGGGGGCTCAACACACAGCCCGCAGGTGGGAGACAGAACAAAAAAAGTCACTATAAGGGTCGTCTGTTGAGATGCATTTTAGTAGTTAAACTCCCGGACTGTCATTGCTCATTAATTGCTGTCATATGGGTGGAAATCGAGTGAATATTGAATTTTATTAATGAAAAGGACTTTTGCCCGAACGGGAGCAGCATAGTTTTTCCGGAAAAGCACTGATGATTTTACATTAGATCGTCAGTGCTTTTCTGGAAATTCAAGGGGCCAGTGTAGACAGCTGGCAAGTTATTCCGGAAAAGCGGCTGATTTTCCGGAATAAGTGGCCAGTGTAGACACAGCCTATGTGTTGTAACAGTGTCAGCTGGTGTGATGGATTTCTGCAGCTTGGAGGCCAGGGTCTGGAAGGGGAGGCCACGGGTCAGAATGGGAGTTTACTGTCAGAGGTCTGAGCAAGCTCCCTGTGTGATGCTTCTCACAGGGTCCTACTTGGCTCAGCATCTCTCAATCGGTGTCTTCCTTGAAAACTGGTGTTGACTTGTGAATTCTCAGGAAGTTAAGAGTAGGATTTGTCAAGCCTTGCCTGGGCAAAAGCAAACCTTTCCTCCGGTGTCTGGTAGGCACGTAATGTTCTGTCGCTGTTCAATACAAGCTTGTGTCTGCCTGGAGTGATGGACCTTGGAGGATACCGTGGTTTGGAGGACACACACGCACACACGCGCGCGCGCACACACACACACACACACACACACACACACACACACACACACACACACACACACAAAAGCGAGGAACAAATAGACCCGGCTGTCTGCAATAATGCAGGGAATTAGGCTGGGGGTCTGTTGCCTGAATGGGGACAGAAAGAGAAGTGGGGAATAATTTGGGGGGAGGGGAGACCCTGATCAGCCTTTCAAAGCCCACTGCTGGTAAGACATTTTATTGAGTGCCCAATATACCTGAAAGCGGAGGCCGAGTGTGTATGTCTTCGCCACGCCAGTCCTGCTTCTCACACCTAACTGGGCTGTTGGAAGATAACTGCTAGAGAGAGTTATCTTGTTGATTTGTTCTTTTCATATGTGTTCATTTTTTTAAATTGTATCCTTTGGTATATATGGTTGTGACAATTTTCTTCCACCATTTGATCTGAGGAAGTGGGTCTGGCCCACGAAAGCTCATCACCTAATAAACCATCTTGTTAGTCTTTAAAGTGCTACATAGTCCTGTATTTTGTTTCAGTTGCACCAGACTAACACGGCTACATTTCTATCACTGACTTAAATGGGGCTGTGTGTTGGGTAGTCTTGCCTTAATCTTTGTATTCATGCCCGTCGGTGTGAAATAAGCTATTTGCATATATTTGCATATATATGCGACCACACTTAAGCTGCAGCCCATGACCCTTGAGTATCTTTGTGGCCCCCAGGGCTTCCAAAGTCAAGTAGCCCTACTTTAGGTGTTGGGACCAGGAAAGGGGGTCCCAAAGGAAACAGATATCAAGGGTGGAAATCCTGGCTTTATTGGTGCTAATGGCCAAAGTCCCCGTCGTTCCACAGGGCCCAAGGTTTTCACGTTGGAGCCAGCGTGAAACAATCTTACTCTGAAAAAGAGCAGGCAGCCTCCTCTCCACTCCCACACAGTCAGTCCCCCCTGGAAAACAATGGGCCAGGGTGTGCAGAGTGTCACGCTTCCTGAGGTTGCCGTAGTAATTCCCTGGCAGAACAACACACACACACACACACACACACACACACACGCTCCTTTCCCCAGGGTTCCACCAAGTGCTTTAAACACAGGATTATCTAAACAACACCCAGGTTCCCACGATCAGACGCCTTCGAGTCTCCTCTCCAGACATCCGGGCCCATGAGCCTTCTCCCCGCTCCGGCTTTCCTGCACCTCAAAGTAATTCCCTGGCAGAACAACACACACACACACACACACACACACACACACGCTCCTTTCCCCAGGGTTCCACCAAGTGCTTTAAACACAGGATTATCTAAACAACACCCAGGTTCCCACGATCAGACGCCTTCGAGTCTCCTCTCCAGACATCCGGGCCCATGAGCCTTCTCCCCGCTCCGGCTTTCCTGCACCTCAAACAT